TGTTACCTAGCCAGGTAATGAAACATTTGCAAGAAAAGAATCAAGCTCAGAGAACCCCAAGGACTCCACAACTATTAAACATTGCCAAAAATAATACTCCCTTATTCATATACCCTATTCTTGACTCTTGATGACTTAATGGACGTTAACTAAGCTCTTTTATCAGCAATACAGAATGATTTTTCACTGCATTCTTTGAGATTCTTTTTTAATTTCCCAAGCTAGCCTGCAGTCCTGACATTTCCTGGTGATCCAAGTACTAACTAGATCTAATCCTGCTCAGTTTTTTGAGATCATCTGAGAGCTGCCCCTTAGGTAGGAACATCCTATAAACAGTAAAGCGCCCCTCCCCCCCAGTTTTGGCATCCTTACAGATGGTGACTTTTGGGCAGTCATTCACTCTCAACCCTAGGAAGGAGGCAATGGCAAACCCCTTCTGAAAATGTTGCCAAGAAAACTACTTGGACATATCCAGGCAGTTGCCAGGAATCAAAATTGATTTGATGAACAACAAGCCTTGGCCAAACCTTCAGTGGAACTTTTATGCTAATTCTTTTTGAAAAATCAAGTAAATTGCCCTGGATGCTTTCTTTTTTAGCTTCATGTTGCCAGCTGCTAGAGCTCCATTTCCTTGGTGAACCAATGGCCCTCTGGTCTATACCACAATTCCTTTTTTTAAAAAATAAAAACTTTATTAAGATTCAAACAAGAATAAAATACACAAAGACATCAAAAGAAAGGTAGAAAAGAAAGAAATAGATAAAGAAATGTGAGGAAGAAAGAAAAAAGGGGAGGAGAGAGAAACAGAAAATAAGAAAAGAACAACTCCTGATTTTCTTTGGTACAGTTATAAGTAAAATAATACATTAACTTCTTACTCTAGTAATATCAATAAACAATAGCAAAAAGAATTCTAAATATCAAATTTCAAAGTCAAAATTCCATTTAGTTACAAGCAAAAATCCCAAAAGTAATTTCTATATAGAAACAAAGTTAAATTTATACAGGCATATTATCCCAAGGACCTTACCAACATTTGAAGTATCAGTTAATCTATTGTTATTAAACACCTACATCTATT